CCCCAAAACCCCAAAACCCCAAAACCCCAAAACCCCAAAACCCCAAAACCCCTCAATTTTTTTATATTATTGAATTTTTATAATCATAAAATGTTATCTAATATTTTTGGAATGAGGCTAACTCCTAGAATGTATAATACCCTCTTCATAACTCCTATGAGATACGCAAGTAAAACATACTACCCTGATTACCATCAGAAAATTCATGCAAGAAGGAATGTTCCTGTTTTTGATGAAAATTTTGGAAAAGTGAACCAGAAGCCTAGATATTTGAAATTCAGGCATCCTCAAGCCAGAAACAAGCTTACTTATTTGCCTCCACATAGACACGATTTCATGAATTTTAAGGTAATGGGAGGAAATGAGATCCTTTTGAATCTGGAAAATTGAGAGTTTTTGAGAAATTCAGAACTAGTTGCTGCCCTCCTTTCACTCGGTAAGATAGAAGGACAGGAAGAGCATGATTGGGAAGTTCACCCATACACAAAGATGGCCTTTGATGAAGTCAAAAGGAGGATAGGACAATTCAATTCCCAGCATGTTCTTCAACTTTGCATTGCTTTGGATAATCTGAATTATAACAATGTTGATTTTTGGGATGAAATTCAGGTGTACATCATGAAGCACCTGCATAAATATAATGGTAAAGAATTAGTAAGAATTCTCGATCTTCTCGTCCCAAATGTTGAAGATGATCTTGATGATGATGATGTTGTGTATCTCCACAAAGAAATAGAGAAAAAGCAGAAGTTGGAAAGATCTGAGAGAGAATTCCTCCAAAGAATCATTAACATCATTCCTATTCATGTGAAGGATTTCTACCCATCAAGACTAACTAGACTTGCAGAGGTCTGTGTTCAAAGAGAATTAGGAGATGACAGATTTTATAAAGAATTCCTGTTCTTCTATGTTGAAAAGAAAATTAAGATGTTTTCCATTGACAATTACTGTAGAATCTTAAGAGTTTTAGGCACAAAGCAATATACTGATGATATTATCTTCTGGAACAGCTTTATTTTTCCAAGAATTTACTTGTTCCCGTTAAACAAGAGTGATGCTCACCAGGTTTGGGAATCTTTGGTTGCATTAAAAATGAAGTGCCAAGATCTGGACTGCACGATTCCTATAAATTACATTGAATCCTTGCTTAAGAAATTCGAGCTCATTGATGGATATGAACAACTGACTCCTGAGCAGCAAAATAAGATCAAGGATGTGGGAGAGTTACCTATTGGAGTTAAGAAGACAATCATGCACACTAATTCTCTAGACAGTAAATATCTCTAAAGCTAATCTATAGTGTCTAAGAAAGCAATGCAAGAAGCCCAGCAACAGTTGATCTCTGAATCTCAGCATGAGCAGAGATTGTCCAAGGAACAGGATGAAGAGTACCTGAAGAAAAAGGAAAAAAGAGAACAGAGAAGGCTCAAGAGGGAACAAAGAAAGAGGAATCAAGAAGAAAGAGGAAATGTGCTTTATGATTCAGATTAATTTGGGATATGATTTTCAGCCTCCGTTCATAAAAATGGGGTTTTGGGGTTTTGGGGTTTTGGGGTTTTGGGG